GCCAGACAAGTGTAACATGGTATGTTGATAAAGCTTCTAAATGTGGCACTAAAACTGAGTGATGGGAAGGTCAGTAATGGTTCTGAGGCAGTACTTTACCTTGCAAAACCAAGCAAGAGCATCCACAACTGAGAAAGGTTCACTATGAAAATGTAATAACTGAGTAACCTGAAATATTCAGTTAAAGTCAATAATCATTTCTCAAACATTGTAATATTTCCCTCTAGTCACAGAAGTATACAAACCCATTCATTTAGATAAACTTTTAGTATTAGTCATTTTTTTAAACAAAGAAATAAAGGAATAATCAGAGAGCAGAAAATATGCAGTTAATATACAATAGTTATAAGAAGAATTTGCCTTATGTATTGCAATGGACTGAATGTTTGTGTTCTCCCCAAATTCATATGTTGAAATCTTAACTACTATGTGATATTAGGAGGTGAGGTGTTTGGGAGGTAATTAGGTCACAAGGGCAGAGCCATGTGAAAATATAATGGCATTAGTGCTCTTCTATAATAAAAGGGATTCCAGAGAATTCCCTTACCCTCTTTCTGTCATGAGATGATACAACTAGAAGACAGCAGTCTGCAACCCAGAAGAGGGCTCTTACCAGAACTCAACCATGCTGACATTCTGATCTCAGACTTCCAGCCTCCAGAACTGTGAGAAATAAATTTCTGTTGTTTATAAGCCACCCAGTCTATGGTACTTTGTTATAGCAGCCTGAACTAAGACAAGTACTCTCAAGAGTAACTGCATATATTTATGGAAATCACAACATGGTATAAAAAATTACAAGGGAAAAAAAATCCTAAGCAATCAGGAGACAATTCATAATTTTTAGCAGATGACCTAAAAATGAAAAACAAATATATAAAACTCAGCCCTTTTGTGATTTATAAAGCACAAGCTGAATAGAGCCACATACAAATATTTAAATGCAAAAGATATAATATGATAAGTTTTGAACAGTTTATATGTGTTATACATGTTATATTCAAATGTAGAACTTAATGAACTAAACTTTATAACAAAGTGATTCTAAACATGAAAAAATACTTGCTTCAGCTTTAATAATATGCATTTTAATTGTATAATATGCTAAACACAAATGCAATGGATCCTGTGACTGCATTGTTGCCCAACTTGCATTTATATAATCCTTACATGGAAATGTAGAGTAGGAATGGATGTTTACAGACTATAAACTAGATCTTGGTGATCATGGAAACAAATGGAAAAGTCAGTACTTCTCTTTCTTCTAAATATTTGCATAAGCATGAGTTACTGTACTTTGTGGAATACTAATTATCTTAGTTATCAAAATAGTTTTAAGAATTATTTTTATCAAAGTCATTTATGTCCAGAATTTAAAATTTGAATAGTGTTAACAGCCTTAAAATAAAAACAAAAACAAAGAAAAAACCTCAGTAGTTCCTGTCTCTGACCTTCCCGCTACCACGCCTATGGTTTCCTTCCCCAGTAAGAGCCTTTGCAATCACTTTAGTTATTCTTCTGACAGATACATCTATATTTCTAACATACATCATACTCTTGTCTCTTGAATCATCTATATTAAACAGATTGCTTGGCTCTGAATCCCAGTGCCACCATTTATTATTAATATTAATAGTTCTGTGACCTCTGGCAAATTACATAACCTAAAATTTTAAGGCGTTTCATAATCTATAAAACAAAATAATAGAATCACCATTGCCCAGGACTAT